AGCGGTTTCTCAGGGCCAGGTGGTCCCCCCCTTTGGCATCCCCCAGCCGGCTGTGTCCCTGCCCGGCACCTACCGCTTCTCCGGAGCAGCTCTCCCCTCCGGGCACGCTCCATCTCCTCCACGAACTGCTCAAAGACCCGCACGTAGGGCGCCAGGCTCGTCTTCTTGTAGTCTGGAAGATTTGGGGAGCTGAGCAGGAGCGGGAGCGGGGCAGTGGGGGTCCCCTGTGCCCCGGCCCCAGCCTCGCTCACCCCGTGCACGGCGCTTTGGCTCCGTCTCCCCAACGTCCTCCTGCTCCCCATCATCACCAGCCGCATCCAGCTCGTGGCACAGGGAGCTGTGGGAGATGGTGGGACATGCTGGGGGGCTGCCGGCACAGCCAGGCCCGCCCCGTGCTGCCAGCCCCGCTCACGTACCTCATGGTGGGGACAGCGAACGGGGAGAACTGGTCCAGCCTCTGCCGATCCAGCGGCACTGAAATGCGCCCTGCAAGAGAGGGGAGTCACAACTGGGGGTGCCCGGCTGCGGGGGTCCCCGTGGGGTGCTGGCCCCACAGGCAGCCAGACCCACCTGTTTTGGGGTGGACGCTGAAGGGGCTCTTCAGCAGGTGCCCAACGCCTTTGCTGACGTTGATGTCAAGGCGAGGGAAGCAGTACTGCAGCATGATCTCCCAGTCTGCGTAGCACACCGCGCTCTTCCCGGTCCCTGCTGCCCGCTGCGGGGACAGGCGGGTCAGGGGGCAGCAGGGTGGGCAGCACCCACCAGCACAGCTCCACAGCCACTCACCCGCGTCCGCTCCATCCTGCACTTCAGCAGCTCCCAGCGCTGCACCGAGTCCCGCTTCTTGGGGAACTCGCCCTGCAATGGCTCACGGTGCTGTGGCCGGCGGTCAAGGCTGATTGTGGACACTGCTGACCCCACTCCCCCTGCACAGACCCTCCCTCCGGACCCAGCACAGCGCCAAACGGCACGGTGGGGCCACTCCAGGAAGGATATCTTCTGGCACAAGGGCCAGCACCTTCTCCCAGCTCTCTGGGGTGCCCAGGATGTCTTGGCCCACCAGCGCGTACGCCTCAAAGTACTTCTCCACCACACTGACCGACCGCCTGCGGAGGAGGGAGGAGAGGTTCAGCGCCCCACGGCCAGCGGCTGCTGGGGCCGGGCATGGGGAAACCCACCAACCTGATGAAGGGGTGGACGGGCTCAGAGATGTTCACCTTCTTCACAGTCTCTGCTCCACCCTGGAGGGACAGCAGCGGTCAGGCTGGGGGAGTGGGCAGGGGGGTGCTCCAGTCCCCCATGCACTCACCTTCACCAGGGTCAGGTACTCCACGGCGGCCGCCCGCAGTGCCGGGGACCATTTCCGCACCGCGTCGTCGCACACCCAGCAGTGGACGCCCCTTCGGCCCGAGTACACCCACAGGCGATGCTTCATGCCCAGGTCCTCTGTGGGGGGAACAGCCGGGCTGCAGCAGCATGTTGGGACGGGCTGCAGCATCCGCCCAAGCTGGCAGCACTGCAAACCTGCTGGGCAAACCCTGCTGGGCACCAGTGCATCCTCCGCTCCCCCCCAGCCCCGTGCCAGCGCTGCCCTGGCCCCCACTTTGGGGTCTGGGCATTGGTGTGGGGCGCAGCACAGTCTGGATGTGTCCCCAGTGCACAAGGACGGGGACCATGTGGGTCCCCGAGACCCTCACCCACGAGCGCGCGGTCGATGATGCGGACAGCGATGGTCATCAGGGTCCAGCACTTGGAGCAGATCTCGGCTGAGCTGGAGGCAGAGCGTGGTGGGTCAGGCTGCCGCCCCGTGCCCCC